ATCTAAACAGCAACCCCTAGCCAGCAAAGATCTAAACAGCAACCCCTAGCCAGCAAAGATCTAAACAGCAACACCTAGCCAGCAAAGATCTAAACAGCAACACCTAGCCAGCAAAGATCTAAACAGCAACACCTAGCCAGCAAAGATCTAAACAGCAACACCTAGCCAGCAAAGATCTAAACAGCAACACCTAGCCAGCAAAGATCTAAACAGCAACACCTAGCCAGCAAAGATCTAAACAGCAACACCTAGCCAGCAAAGATCTAAACAGCAACACCTAGCCAGCAAAGATCTAAACAGCAACACCTAGCCAGCAAAGATCTAAGCAGCAACACCTAGCCAGCAAAGATCTAAGCAGCAACACCTAGCCAGCAAAGATCTAAGCAGCAACACCTAGCCAGCAAAGATCTAAGCAGCAACACCTAGCCAGCAAAGATCTAAACAGCAACACCTAGCCAGCAAAGATCTAAACAGCAACACCTAGCCAGCAAAGATCTAAGCAGCAACACCTAGCCAGCAAAGATCTAAGCAGCAACACCTAGCCAGCAAAGATCTAAACAGCAACACCTAGCCAGCAAAGATCTAAACAGCAACACCTAGCCAGCAAAGATCTAAACAGCAACACCTAGCCAGCAAAGATCTAAACTCCTTTGGTATAAAAAGATATTCTTTAAGTATGAAAATTTTGAAAGCTTATCTGCTCCATCTCACACTTATGCAGAATATCAACTGCAAGCAGTATAAACAATAACAGAAACACTTGGGGAAAAAAACCTTTCCATTTCGCCTTCTCAGTTCAGTGTATATTATATTTGGAACCCTTCACCTGTGAAGTTAAAACAAAGTTTATACATAAAGGTTACACCTTAAAAATGCTTCTCTAATGGAAAAAGTTTGATATTTAGTTTCTAGGCTATGTTAAGATCTGTACTGTATATTTTCAGATGTATCAAGTAATTGACACTTCTTAAGGACCCCTAGTTTTAAACTGTTTTGAGATGTTACTATCGTCTTCTGTTTTACATATATATACACACACATTAAATACATACATTTGCATATATGTGTGCACGCCTGCGTGCTACATTGGTTCAGTCGTATCCCACTTGGTGACCCTATGGACCTTAGCCCATAAGGCTCCTCTGTTCAAGGAGATTCTCTAGACAAGAATAACAGAGTGGGTTTCCATGCCCTCCTTCAGGGGATCTTCCTGACCCAGAGATCAAACCTGCATCTCTTATGTCTCCTGAATTGCCAGGCAGATTCTTTACCATTCTTTACCACTAGCACCACCTGGGAAGGCTATTTATATATATACACATACATATATATATATATATATATATATATATATATACATATACATACATATATAACAAAAATATATTACATGTAGAATTCATACATGGTTTGAAAAATTTTTTTTTTCCATTTAGAATAGAGTCACCGAGTTTTACTTCAAGTGGTCAGTTCTTCTAGCTTATTTCTAACAGACAGAAAACAGGTGTAAGGGAAAAGGCACTTATACTATGAAGAACAGTTCTGCTTGCGAGATTTAGAAATTCAGTTTCAACTCCTTTAAGAAAACAAAGAGAAAAGGGTGGGTGTGGTATGGGGAGGAGCCTCCCCAGGCCCAACAAATGCCATCACATCTCCTAGGCCAGCTTCCCCGTCTGTGTCTCCCAGCGAGGTGCTGCGCTGAGCTATGCTTACTGGCTCAGTCATGTCTGACTCTCTGCGACCCCATGGCCCCCCAGGCTCCTCTCTGTCCATGGGATTCTCCAGGCCAGAATACTGGAGTGGGCAGCCTTTCCCTTTTCCAGGGGATCTTCCCCATCCAGGTATGGAACCTGGGCGTCCCGCATTGCAGGTGAACTCTTTACCAATGAGCCCGGGGGAAGCCCCGGCTCTGCGCTAACTCCCTCTAAGCGGCCTTTACTCCCAGGCTGGCTCCCTCCCTGTGGTCTCAGTCACCGCCTGCCCGTCCACCCGAGGGACGACAACCCGTGGGAAGGGACGCATCCTCCGTCTCTGTGGGTTCCCAGGGCATGTTCTACTCCGGGACTGCAGAAGTGCCTTCCTCAGGACCCTATGGTGGTCTCGACACAAGGGATGCTTTCACCAGGCCACGGCGACCTGTGGTACCACCGTGATGCCCTGGGGCGAGGGCTGCTGTGTGGGCCAACACTCTGGCCACAACCCCCAGGAACTGAGGCCTGTGTATTTCCTCTTTCAATTCCATCAGGCTCAGCACGCAGAGCTCCGGGAGGAGGTGACACGGTGAGGACCCGCCACATGGAGGGACCACAAGGGTGTGATGGCATGTCCCCCAGACCTCTTCACCTGTGCTAAGATGCCAAGGCTGGAACACAAATCCCACCACGTGGGCAGCAGACTGGAACAGGAGAGACTCTCGGATAAGGCCCTGTCCTCGGGGCAGAGGAGTGGCAAGCATCCCTTGCCGGCATCTTTCTCCTTGATGAAAACACGTGATCAAATTCTGTAGGAGGAAGTTGAAGGACGGGCTTCCCTGATAGCTCAGTTGGTAAAGAATCCGCCTGCAACGGAGGAGACCCCAGTTTGATTCCTGGCTCGGGAAATCCGCTTGAGAAGGGAAAGGCTGCCCACTCCAGTATTCTGGCCTGGAGAATCCCATGGACTGTATAGTCCACAGGGTTGCAAAGCATCAGACACCACTGAGTGACTGGCACTCAAGCTGAGGACAGGGAAAGCCTTGGGCACTCTGCTTCTGTGCCAGCTGCTCTCGTGCGTGCCTCCCAGAGCTGAGGGTTCACTACGCCCCAGTTCAGTGTGGACACGCACAGCATCTCGGCGTGTCTGTGTACCAGCGCATGATCACGCCTCTACAATTACACACCGACTGCCTCCCCGCCCTCTAGGCTCTAAGTGAGCAAGAATGAATTCCGGTTAACTGGGTGTGCCCGGTACCTGCACTGTGTCTGTTAAACAAAGGGATCCTTATTAAATGTTGGATAAATGGCTAGTAAGTAAGCCAGTTCAAAACTAAGTTACTAGGGAAAACAGAGAGGCAACAACAGGAAAGATCTCAAAAAAAAAAAAAAAAAAATCTTAAAGGGCAATTAAAGTACTATTTACTCACATCACAACAGTAATTTATTTAAATCCAACAATCACAACAAATATTTATTAATCATGCACTATATGACAAGCACTATGCTCGGAGCTGAGATTATGAAAACAAACTTGCTTAAATCTGATATTCTTCCTTAAGGAAAGGAAAGGTAACTGAACCTTTTTAACTAGTTGCATGAAAATGAACTTTTTAATTAGTTGCATGTAGGTATGACAAGGGCTAAAAAGGAGAGAAGAGGGATGTTTCTTTATTTTTTAAAGAGTTTAAATTGTTAAGAGTTAAATTATGGAGCCTGTGAACACTTTTCCGTGACCCTTAAATGTGGTAGGATTGCACTCACCAGCAGGTGATCTCCTTTTCCCTTTTAACAAAGGATCTCAAAGTCGTGGTGTTCATCCTTGCTGGCCCAGGGACACATTTCTCATCTGTCTTCTGAGAATCAAAGTGCTTGTTTTTGCTGCTGTTGCTCAGCCATGTCCGACTCTGCGACGCCACGGACTGCAGCACACCAGGCTTCCCTGTCCTTCCCTATCTCCTGGAGTTTGCTCAAACTCGTGCCCATTGGGTCGAGGACGCCATCCAACCATCTCAGCCTCTGTCGCCCTCTTCTCAACCTGCCGGCAGTGCCCAAGTGCAGGAAGCAGCTGGCCCTGCCACCACATATTTTGGCCCTGCGGACCTTATCTCTTCCCACATTTGTGATGCCCCCACATCACTTTAAGCCAGACCACCCCAGGCCTTAGGCCAGGGCTTTGCCAACTTTAGCATGCAGAGCAACATCTGGGGATTCTGCTAAAACGCAGGCTGTGCTTCAGGAGATTTGAGGACTGGGCTTCCTCCTTTCCTGTAAATTCCCTGGAGGATGCTCTCTTGGGAAGACCACACCCTACCAGAGAGTTAGAAGGCAGCGGAAGGATGAAAATATTGAACAGCACGTCCTTCTACAATTCCTGATACACACTCCCCCTACCCTTCACTAAATCCTAATGGAGTCAAGAATTCAGCATAATGCAGTTGTACTATGCATAGTTGTTAGGATGTCTTCGGGATCAGCTGTTTACAAGGAGGAAAAAAAAAAAAAACCCGCCTCCTTAGTCATCACATCCGGGGTTCTTGCTTACAGAAAGTGTCCTCGGGCAGAGTCCAGGGCCCTGGCACCTCAAATGGGGGAGAAAGAAGAGGCGTAGGGGAAAGGCCATTTAGGGGAGCTCCCGCCCACTCCCTCTCCTGCTTAGAGACACTCTTGGCATTTTTCAGATTCTCTTCTGTAGCTTCGGTGGGAATAAACCCGTCCTCCAACAAGGGGATCTGTGCCACCTTCCACCCCAAAGCCCGCCAATTCCTCCAGGCTTGGTTGTTAGGATTAGACAGGGACGACACTGTTCGGGGACAGAAGGAGCCGCCGCTCCTTTGCCTCTGGATGGAAATGCCAGCCGAGTGCGGGCCGCCAGGCTGAGGTCTATCGAGGGGCAGCGGTGCCCGCTGACGAAAACAAGAGGCTGGTCCACTGCAGGCCGGCTCTGAAGCACCAACTTCCACGAGTTAGCGCCGGCTCGCATTCTGCCACCCCGTTTCGCAGAGAAGTCAGCTGGGAAGCTCAGAAAGGTTAACACAACCCGCGTCCACACAGCCTAAGGCGGCCTGAGGAACCGAACGCTGCCCAAAGCCGTAGTTCGGCCTCTCCAATAATGCTGAGGGACAACAAATCACAGGTTGCCTCGCAAAAGCCGAGGGACGGCCAGCCCCAAGGTGGCCCCTAGAGCCCGCCCTAACACGGACAGTCGGCCCCGCCTGGAGGCGGAGGAGACGGGAAACCACTTCCGGGGAACGGCCGGCCACAGAGCCAAGCACTTCCGGTGCAAGGCACAGGCAGGTCGTTCGGTGGTTAACGGACTCGCAGGTAAGGGCCGACCCTAGCTATCCGGAGACGGTACGAGCCCACAATGTCGTCTCCCTTACCCGCGCCAGAGGAAACACCGGGGTGAAGCGGGCGGAGCGCGCGCCGCCATGTTGAGTCCGGCATTTTCAACGGAGCAGGCGGGGCCGAGCGGACGCCGGCGTCAGCGCGATGACGTCCTAGACCAGGCGCCTGCCTTCCGTCCGCGGAACCTTCCTGGGCGGGCCCAAGGCGCGCGTCGCCCCGCCGTAATCGGCGGGGGCAAGTTGAATGACGGCCCGGCCCCGCCTTCCGGTTCCGGTTGAGGGCGGGAGGCGGCTGCTCTGAGCGGAAGTGCCTCAGACCTGCCTTGGTAGGGGGAGATCGAGGGCGGGGCGGGGGCCGGAGGGCGGGGCGGGGGCCGGAGGGCGGGGCGGAGCGGGCGAGCCGCAGGTTCCGGCCAGCCCACGTGTCTCCAGGGGCACGCGGGTCTGGGTAGGAGGCGTCCTTATTTCCGCCGCACCCAGACCTCATGGGTGGGAGGCTGGGCTTGGGCTTGCGACCGCTGGACCGGCAGCTTGCAAAGGGCAAATGTGTCTTTAATCTGGAATTTGCTACAGGCTGTAGTGATGTTACTAATGTTACCAATCACTCAGGCCCCCAAATGTTTCAAAAGGTTAATAAACAAGGCCAGATGCCTTGCCAGTTGAAATTAATCCATTTGCTTTTTGCCAAGTAATTAGAAAGTAGGCTGCATAGTCTATGTACTGAACAAATATAAACTGTTGTTAATTTTTTTAATCAATATGATTATATTGGGTTAAGGTGAGCGAGGAAAAAGAAAGTGTTTCCTTGAAAGATTTGTATGTTCAGTCAGATTTTGATTGAAAATATGCTTAGACCAGAAAATTTGCTTTTGAACTGTGGTATTGGAGAAGACTCTTGAGAGTCCCTTGGACTGTAAGGAGGTCCAACCAGTCCATCCTAAAGGAGATCAGTCCTGGGTGTTCATTGGAAGGACTGATGCTGAAGCTGAAACTCCAGTACTGTGGCCACCTGATGCAAAGACCTGACTCATTTAAAAAGACCCTGATGCTGGGAAAGATTGAGGGCAGGAGGAGAAGGGGACGACAGAGGATGAGATGGTTGGTTGGCATCACTGACTCAATGGACATGGGTTTGGGTGGACTCCGGGATTTGGTGATGGACAGGGAGGCCTGGCGGGCTGCAGTCCATGAGGTCGCAAAGAGTTGGACATGACTGAGCGACTGAGCTGAGACACATATACATACTCTTTGTGACCCCACAGACTATATATACAGTCCATGGGATTCTCCAGGCCAGTATACTGGAGTGGGTAGCCTTTCCCTTCTCCAGGGGATCTTCCCAACCCAGGTCTCCTGCATTGCAGGCAGATTCTTTACCAGCTAAGCCACAAGGGAAGCCCAAGAATACTGGAGTGGGTGGCCTCTCCCTTCTCCACCGAGCGGATCTTCCCAACCCAGGAATCGAACCGAGGTTTCACACATTGCAGGCAGATTCTTTACCAACTGAGCTATATGGGAAGCTCATGTACATATATATTTGTGTGTGTGTGTGTGTGTGTGTGTGTGTGTGTGTGTGTATATATATATATAATTAAACATGCATAATTGTATTTATATCATCACTTCTAAGGAATGATGACTATCATCCGTGTGGAACAAACTATGCCACCTTACGGACGTTTCTTTCTTGGGTTTTGTTTCCCCAGTTTTGCAGCTAGGATGCCACACATCAATCTGTCGTTTGCAGCGTGTGGGTTTCTGGGCGTTTACCACTTGGGGGCAGCATCGGCACTTTGCAAACACGGCCGAAAGCTGCTGAAGGCTGTCAAGGCCTTTGCCGGAGCTTCTGCGGGATCCTTGGTTGCTTCAGTTCTCCTCACGGCGCCGCAGAAAATAGAGGTAATTAAGTGGTAACTAGGCTGTGCTTCTCATCAATAAATTAAGAACAAACAGCGAAGATGATTGTTTAACTCTATTAAGTTAACTGCGTAGAAGTCCTCCTTTGCCTAGGAAGCCAAAAAGGTTAAGACTTATTTTAAAATGTAACTGTTAGAGAGCTGTGCTCCCCGTTTGGAGTAGAAGATTATTCGGGGGGTGCTAATAAGACAAGGAAATAAAATGCCTTATTTTGCTCACGAGTGTTTCTTTATTCTTAAGACTCCGGCTTTGTTGCTTTCAAGCCAAGGTTTACTTCTCCGTTAACTGATCGTGAGAACACAGGGCCTGTTCTCAAGGCCTGGAACACGCAGCTGATCACGTCTTTGCTTGCTTCTACTTACAGACAGGCATATAAACTCAAACGTGACCCTGTAATTTAAGTGGAATGATAGTGGAACTTAATATCTTTTTCATTCCCACAGTAAGAAGCCCTGAATTTCAAGTGGTGTATATAGTAGTAATAATAATAAGCTTTCATTAAGTGTTTCATTTTTAATGCAGTCTATATTTCTAAGCCTTCCATGGTGGCTCAGTAGTAAAGAACCTGCCTGATGTGCAGGAGACTCGAGTTCAATCCCCGGGCCCAGAAGATCCCCTGGAGAAAGAAATGGCAACCCACTCGAATATTCTTGCCTGGAGAATCCCATGGACAGAGGAGCCTGGCAGGTTATAGTCCATGGGGTCGCAAAAGACTTCAACACAGCTTAGCGACTAAACAATAACAACAGACACTGTTTTTAAAATCTGTTCTCTGCTTCTGGACAGTCAGCTAAAGGACAACAACAACAGTATTTTTAAAATCAATTTTCTGCTTCTAGACCATCGTGATGCACTCTGACTTTGAGAACTGGCCTCAGCGGGTGGAAAATATTCTATTTGTTAATTACGTGCATGCTCTTAACCACTTGCAATAGTCGTCGAATAATGATTAACACTTCCATGCCCGGGGATGCATTTCAGTTCACACTTAAGTGTTCAAAAGCACAACATTTTAAACACAAGAAACTTTATTGGGAAGGGGTGCCCGGGTGGAGAGCAGGTGGGTGAGGGAGCCCAGGAGGACCACTCTGACACGTAGCTCGCAGTCTGGGGATTCAGGGTGATGGGATTAGTCTCCAGGTTGTCTCTGGGCAATCCGTCTGACTCATGGGCCTTCCTGGTGGTTCATGCATTGCTCAGCCAAGATGAATGCCAAGCAAGAAGGATTCTGGGAAGTGGAAGGACATGTGGTGTCCTCCTTTTGACCTTTCCCGAACTCCTCTGGTTGGTGGAGGCTTGTTAGCTGGACGTTCCTTACCAGGAACCTCCTGTCATAAAATAACTCACGTAAACGGATAGTATCGGGCCGAGTCAGGATGGGCGGTTTCAGGCAGTGTCTCCCCTCACACAGGGGCTCTGTGTATCTCGTGAATCCCAGTGCCTAGCCCAAGGCCTGAGGCCAAGTAGCTTGCTGGATGGATGAACTAAAAAAATCAAAGATGGATCTGGGTTCAAATCCTGGCTGTGACACTCATTCTTGATGACATAGTAGGAAAGATGCTTAACCCTACAAACCAGTTTTCTCCTATCTGTCCTGTGTGGCCATTGTATCCACCTGGCATTCTTTTTTTTTTTCCCTTTTTTAACCTTTATTTTTAATTGAAGGGTAATTACAATATTGTGTTGGTTTCTGCCATACGTCCACATGGATCAGATAGGTATATGTACATCACCTTCCTTTTAAAACTAAGTCCCACCTCCCGTCCCACATTCTGTTTTTCTTATTTCTTTTTAGTGAAGTATAGCTGATTTACGGTTGTTATTCATTTCTGTTGTGCAACAAAGTGACTTAGTTATACACACACACACACACATATATATATACATTAATTTTTAATATTCTTTTCTATTATGGTTTGTCATAGGATATTTTTTTCCACTGGTGTATAGTTGCTTTCCCGGCTCCCCTGGTAGCTCAGATAGATGGTGAAGAATCCGCCTGCAGTGCAGGAGACCTGGGTTCGGTCCCTGGGCTGGGAAGATGCCCTGGAGGAGGGCAAAGCAACGCACTCCAGTATTCTGGCCTGGAGGATCCCATGGACAGAGAAGGCTGGCAGGCTGCAATCCATGGGGTGGCAAAGAGTCAGACAGGACTGAGCGACTAGCACCACACACAGTTGTTTTCCAATGTTCTGTTAATTTTTACTTTACAACAACGTGAGTCAGTTGGAAGTATAACTTGTCCCCTCCCGCTTGAACCTCCCTCCCACCTCCCTCCCCATCCCACCCCTCTAGGTTGTCACAGAGCCCCAGTTTGAGTTCCCTGAGCCATACAGCAAATTCCCACTGGCTCTGTATTTTACTTATGGTAACCCACCTTGCATTCTTAACGTGAGCACGTGCCGACAGAGGACCCAGCATTGGCTTGCCTGTTAGACCCCACTTAGGGAGCAGGAGGGCTTTTATTGAACACCTCTGCCCCGGACTAACCTCCAGAGACTGTCATCTGCTCTTTGCAGACGACAGTCATCACAACTCCTTTCTCGGTTGTCAGGGTTGGTGTTAATTGTCAGCGCTATTGCAGAGCGGCAACTGAAATGTTTCTGAGGCCACAGAATTGTCGTGGGAGAGAGGAGTTGCCTTAGAGAGGTCTGTAGGAAAAAAGTGCTCAGTTAGCATTGGAATCCAGCCTTCAAGGATTTTCCAAAGGCGATTTAAAAAAAAAAAGAGCAGATTGTAATTGGGAGAACACATAGCTTGCCTGGGGACCAGGAGTGGTGGGTAAGGACCAGAAGGAGGATCAGGCCCAGAAGAGACTCTGGAGCTAGCTTTGTAGGGTCCAGGTAATTTGTTTGGCAGGGTTCCCTGGTGGCTCAGATGGTAAAGAATTTGCCTTCAGTGCCGGAGACCCTGGTTCGATCCCTGGGTTGGGAAGATCCCTTGGAAGAAGGCATGGTGTTCTTGCCTGGAGAATCCCATGGACAGAGGAGCCTGGCGGGCTACAGTCCATGGAGCTGCAAAGAGTCAGACAGGACCGAGCAACTATCACTTACTTGTATAATTACCTTGTGTGGTGGGCACAGAGTTCTGGAACCAGAACGACTTTTTCTGACAAAACATAGGGTGACCTGTTACTTTTCTCTTTCAGGAATGTAACAAGTTTACCTGTGATTTTGCCGAAGAAATCCGAAGGCAGTCTCTTGGGGCACTGACACCTGGCTATGATTTCATGGCCCGATTGAGGTACGTATTTTTATATTTATCAATCCGTTCAGTTCCGTCGCTCAGTCGTGTCCGACTCTTTGCGACCCTGTGGACCGCGGCACACCAGGCCTCCCTGTCCATCACCCACTCCCGGAGTTTGCTCAAACTCATGTCCATTGAGTCGGTGATGCCATCCAACCATCTCATCCTCTGTCGTGCCCTTCACCTCCCGCCCTCAATCTTTCCCAGCATCAGGGTCTTTTCCAGTGCGTCAGTTCTTTGCATCAGGTGGCCAAAGGATTAGAGCTGCAGCTTCAGCATCAGTCCTTCCATTGAATATTCAGGACTGATCTCCTTTAGGATGGACCGGTTGGATCTCTTCACAGTCCAAAGGACTCTCAAGAGTCTTCTCCAACACCACAGTGCAACACCACCAAAGCATCAATTCTTCAGCGCTCAGCTTTCTTTATAGTCCAGCTCTCACATCCACACATGACTACTGGAAAGAAAAACCATAGATTTGACGAGACGGACCTTTGTTGACAAAGTAATATCTCTGCGTTTTAATATGCTGTCTAGGTTAGTCATAGCTTTTCTTCCAAGGAGCAAGCGTCTTTAAATTTCATGGCTGCAGTCACCATCTGCAGTGATTTTGGAGCCCCCCAAAATTAAGTTTGTGACTATTTCCCCATCTATTTGCCAGGAAGTGATGAGACCAGATGCCATGATGTTAGCTTTCTGAATGTTGAGCTTTAAGCCAACTTTTTCACTCTCTTTCACTTTCATCAAGAGGCTCTTTAGTTCTTCTTCACTTTCTGCCATAAGGGTGGTGTCATCTCCATACCTGAGGTTACTGATATTTCTCCCGGCAATCTTGATTCCAGCTGGGAATATATATATTCCCAGGTGGCACAGTGGCAAAGAATCCATCTACCAATGCAGGACACACAGGAGACTCGGGTTGGATTCACAAAGATTCCCCTGGAGGAGGTCGTGGCAACCCACTCCCGTATTCTTGCCTGAGGAATCCCATGGACAGAGAAGCCTGGCAGGCTACAGTCCATGGGGTCGCAAAGAGTCGGAAATGACGGAGCAGCAGAGCGTGTACACAGTACGTTTCACCGCAGAGGGTGTGTAACCGGGATGCTGTGGATGAACCGTGGCAAGCTCAATCAACATTGTCGCTCCTTGGATTTTTACGAGGAGGCCAGTAATCAAAGACGAACCGTGCGGTGGACGGTCAGGCTGCTCAAGATGGCAGTTCTCTTGCTCTCTGTACATCCCCCAGCTGGACCAGTCCTGGCTACACGGGCAGCCACACTCGTCTCCTTGCCTGTCTCTGCCCCGTGATCCTCCCCATCTTTAGGCCAGAGAGGCTGCACCTGCTAGTTTCATGAAGCGGAATGGCTGCCCTCCACGATGGTTGTTAACCTGCAACCTTATGAGCTGCTCCCTGCTGTAACCAAGGAACCCACCTACCCTTATAAATGGTGACCTCCCCTTCCCGCCAGACTCGGCTGTCTTGTCCCATCCACGACACACGGGTGGGGTGTTGTTCCACCACTTTTATTTTATATATATTTTTTTATGGCTTTGGACATGTGAGATTCTGCAGCTGGTAAGCTTCTGGCATCCCTGTCACTGTGCCCGGGCTCTCTCTCGTGGGATTCGGGTGGGGGCTGCTAGGAGGCTCGCAGGCCCGAGGGGGTGCAGTCCTGCAGGCCGCTCCCTTTCTCTACTCCAGGAGTGGAGTGGAGTCGATTCTCCCCGCCAACGCGCACGAGCTGGCCCATGACCGCCTGCACGTCTCTGTCACCAACGCCAGGACCAGGCGGAACTGCCTGGTCTCCCGCTTTCCCTCCAGGGAGGACCTCATCCAGGTAAAGGCGGCCACGTCCCACGTTGCAGGAAGCCAGCCAGCGCCGGTGTGCGTGCTGATCACAGTGAGCATGCAGGGTCTTTAAATCAGCGGTATCCAGTGTTTCGGGCGCCAGAGATGGGTTTCATGGAACACTTTTTTTTATTTTTCCTTAAAGATTTTTTATTTTGTATTGGGGTATAGCTAATTAATAAACAATGTTGGGATAGTTGCAGGTGGACGGCAGAGGGACTCAGCCATACATGTACATGTATCCTTGTGGCTCAGCTGGTAAAGAATCCGCCCTCAGTGCCGGAGACCTGGGTTCGATCCCTGGATCAGGAAGATCCCCTGGAGGAGGGCATGGCAACCCACTCGACTATTCTTGCCTGGGGAATCCCCAAGGACAGAGGAGCCTGGTAGGCTACAGTCCGTGGGGTCACAGAGAGCCAGACAGGACTGAAGCGACTAAGCATGAAGCACATTCTCCCCCAAACTCCCCTCCCATCCAGGCTGCCACGTGACATTGAGCAGAGTTCCCTGTGCTGGCCAGCAGGTCCTTGCTGGTTCTCCATGTTAAACACAGCAGCGTGTCCACGTCCATCCCAGACTCTGCAACTATCCGTCCTCTACATCCTTCACCCCCACCGCGTTACCCAACCATAAGTTTATTCTCTGCAAGTCTGAGAGTCTCTTTCTGTTCTGTAAGTTCATTTGTATCACTGAGGACAGTTTTTGCATGGGCTGGGGAAAAGTGCAGGAGGATGTTTTGGGGATGATTCAAGCACGTTACATTTACTGCCCACTTTATTTGTATTATTGCGTTAGTTCCACCTCAGGCCCTCAGGCATTAGATCCTGGACGTTGGAACCCCTGCTGTAAATCCAGCTTTGCCTCTCAGGCCTCACAGATAATGGGTGCTCCGTCAGGCCTGCGTGGATCCCGATGGATGGATCTCAGTGTTCCTGAGGCCACAGCGCAGCAGGCGGCTCCCAGAGGCCTGTGGACGAGCCCAGTGTGTTTCCTCGTGATGTTCCCTGTGGCCACATTTACTGTGTGAGTGAGCTTGAGTACCAGTAACTGTTCTTTCCGTGGTTGTACGTTAATACTCCGCAGTCCAGATTTTGTGCCTGGACTACCGCGTTCGGTCCTTCTGTAAATCAGGCAGGACAGGCGTGATTTACGCCTCTTCTGTTGCTTCTTTAACAGAAGAAAGGGGCGGAAAGATTGTATGTGACGCGCCCCAGGGTGTACCGATTGCCAGTGGGCATCCGGGTCTCATGACCTTTTCAAAAGAATGTTCCCTTTCGTTTCTTCCGTTTGGCGCTGACGCCTTTCTGTCCACACACACGTGGAAGCTGGTTGAGAATTCATGATCTCTGGGAGGTATTTCTCGCAAATAGCAATGTATTGGTAAGGGGATACATGACATATTTTAAATTGGTAAGGACACAGGAGGGCTTCACTAGTAGCTCAGAAGGCTCAGTTGGTAAAGAATCTGCCTGCCAGTGCAGGAGACCTGGGCTCGATCCCTGGGTCAGGAAGACCCCTGGAGAAGGAAATGGCAACCCGCTCCAGTATTCTTGCCATGGACAGAGGAGCCTGGCGGGCTACAGCCATGGGGTTGCAGAGTCAGAAAGAGTGAGTGACTAATGTGCAAGAATGCACTTCTCTTAGAAACGCCAGCCGATTTTTCTTTTCCTTCTCTGGGTATTGTGGGGCTTCCCTCGTGGTACTGATGGTAAAGAATCTGCCTGCAATGCGGGAGACCTGGGTTGGATGCCTGGATCACATAGATCCCCTCAAGAAGGGCATGGCTTCCCACTCCAGTACTCTTGAGTGGAGAACCCCCACGGGCAGAGGAGCCTGGCGTGCTGCAGTCCATGGGGTCACCAAGAGTCGGACATGACTGAGGGACTCACACTTTATCTTTCTGTGGGAAACATAGCGAGCCTCTGGTGATAGAGAACATGTGTGTGCAGATGGCAGCCGGTGATGGACTGAGCGTGAGAGCGAAACGTTCCACGTGAATTAAATGATAAATGCATTGTGGTTTTTTTTTAACTATTGAATCTCCCTGTTTAAATTTTACCTTTGAATGATATGATTTGAAATACCTAATGAAGTGTTGAGCTGACAAGTTACTCTGCGACTTAAGAGATTAGAATATCTTCCCTCTCTGTACCAATCACTCCTGTCTCACTCATACACTGATACTCAACCTGTCTTAAGAAAATATTTTTCTATCATGTAATTGCTAAGCTTGCGGAGGCTTAAAGACTAGAAAGGGGGAAGCTGGTAAATCCATGCCTGAGTTGTCACAAATCGTCAACCCCAACACAGAGACATCAGGCTGGCAGTGGGTCAGAACACCTCCTCTTGTGCGTAAGGGGACAAGATTGTGAACAAAGGACTGTCATCCCATCGTAAAACAGGAGGGGAGGGACTTCCCTATTGGTCCAGAGGTTAGGACTCCGAGCTTCTACTTCAGGGGGCCCAGGTTCCAAACCCTGGGTGGGGAACTAATTCCCATATGCTGTGCAGTGGGGCCACCAAAATATGTATATATATATATATATATGTTTTTTTTTTCTGAAAAGGAATTCTGCCCATGGTTTCTACCTTTTCATTGAGTCTTGGCCTGGCTACTCTATCTACAGAACCCCTGATATTTCCTATCAGTTCAGTTCGGTTCAGTCACTCAGTCCTGTCCGACTCTCTGCAACCCCATGGACTGCAGCACACCAGGCCTCCCTGTCCATCACCAACTCCCAGATCTTACTCAAACTCATGTCCATTGCGTGGGTGATGCCATCCAACCATCTCATCCTCTGTCGTCCCCTTCTCCTCCAGCCTTCAATCTTTCCCAGCATCAGGGTCTTTTCCAATGAGTCAGCCCTTTGCATCAGGTGGCCAGAGTATTGGAGTTTCAGCTTCAACATCAGTCCTTCCAATGAATATTTAGGACTGATTTCCTTTAGGATGGTCTCATTGGATTTCCTTGCAGTCCAAGGGACTCCCAAGAGTCTTCTCCAACAACACAATTCAAAAGCGTCTGTTCTTCAGCACTCAGCTTTCTTTATGGTCCAACTCTCACATCCATACATGACCACTGGAAAAACCATAGCCCTGACTAGATGGACTTTGTTGGCAAAGTAATGTCTCTGCTTTTTAATATGCTATCTAGGTTGGTCATAGCTTTTCTTCCAAGGAGCAAGCATCTTTTAATTTCATGGCTACAGTCACCATCTGCAGTGATTTTGGAGGCCCCCCCCCCAAATAAAGCCTCTTACTGTTTCCATTGTTTCTCTATCTATTGGCCATGAAGTGAGGGGACCATATGCCATGATCTTAGCTTTCTGAATGTTGAGCTTTAAGCCAACTTTTTCACTTTCCTCTTTCACTTTCATCAAGAGGCTCTTTAGTTCTTCTTCACTTTCTGCCATAAGGGTGGTATCATGTACGTATCTGAGGTTATTGATATTTCTCCCGGCAATCTTGATTCCAGCTTGTGGTTCATCTAAGCCGGCATTTTGCATGATGTACTCCACATATAAGTTAAATAAGCAGGATGACAATATGCAGCCTTGACGTACTCCGTTCCCTATTTGGAACCAGTCTGCTGTTCCATGTCCAGTTCTAACTGTTGCTTCCTGACCTGCATACAGATTTCTAAAGCGGCAGGTCAGGTGGTCTGGATATTTTCTGTATCTTGCACCGTGAATCACCGACCACTGTTCAGCATACGTTTGTGACTGCTCTAGTTAACCTAGTTTTTGTCTGTCTTCCCTCACTAGAGCGTAAGCTCCACGGAGGGTCAGGGACTGCTGCCTTCTGTCGCCTGAGTGCCCAGCCCTCACAATGTGCCAGCTCCATCAATGTGTGTCCCATGAATGAATATGAACTAATAAATCAATGAACTGAGGTGGCACCTACTAAAAGTACGAAGAAGATGTTATCCTTCACGTTCAGTGATCTGGACAAAATAAGGGAGCTAGTTTAGTGGCCCCACAGCAGTCCAGGTGTCTAACATTCTGCTTGGTGGCCATGCCCCCGCTCTGCCGGTGCTAGATACAATCACCCTCTTAATTCCTTTCATGTGGGAGTGTGACTAACATCCCCCCCTCCCCACTAAAATGTCCATACTGTACTCTGCGCCCTCTACCAAGATCCGAATGAGCAGGAAACCCAGTCTCCCCAGGAGCCCCGGGAAAGGAAGGCCCCGCCATCACCTTAATTCTTTTGCTCAGGTGGATCCAGCCCGTTTTGGGTCCCAACCTCCATCCCCTAGGATCGTCCTTTTGTCTTGTTTTTAGACTCTCATTTTGCGGTCCCTTGTTAAAGCAGCGATAGCGAGCTGTGGTGGTGGTTTAGCTGCTCAATCGTGTCCGACTCTTTGCAACCCCACGGACTATACCCCGCCAGGCTTCTCTGTCCCTAGGACTTCCCAAGGCGAGATGCTGGAGTGGGCTGCCATTTCCTTCTCCAGGATAGCGAACTGTGGCCGTACGTAAACTGGACTTTTTTTTTTTCCTGATTTGCTTTGTTTTGGATAATAACTGCTCAGAGAACTAGCGTAATTACTTGAGTTCATTGAACGGAAGAGAAACAGTTGACACAACTGCGTGATACCTTGTAAGGAGAATAATTGAATAATTAACATGTATCCTAGGTTATACAAGATGCATTTTAACTGTTGAGTAGAATGCTCTAACCTTTTGCAGAAACTGAAAAAAAAAAAGAAGAAGGTGGTTAGTTCCTTGACAGCAGATGGTGGTGATATAATGTATGAAATATATGCCTGGAATACACTTGAGTATGTAGTCCAAAGAGCAAGATTGGTGAAACCTACAAGAGGGAAGAAGAAAAAAGCATCATGACGGGAAAAAAAATAAATAAACCTTCCCCCTCTGCGTGGTGACATGCTGTGTTCTGATCAAAGAGGCCAGTGGGAACTGCTATCTGAGATAGTTTTTCTTTCCTTTTTTTTTTCCCCAATCTAAAGTGAAAAGTGAAAGTGAA